TGCCCAGCTGCGACGTTCATATCTGAATGACTTCATTACTAATAAAGAGCAAATCCTCTAGTGCAGGATTCTGTCTCCTGTCACCTCATTGTACTCTCAGTGGAAATTATCTCTGTGCTAAAGAGTGCTCATCTCCCCACGAGCCTCCATAGGCTATTAACATTATCTGTCTGATTTTAATTTTATACATTTTATGTTGAAATACTTTAATTATTTTACCAGAATTCAATTCAGTTTTAATTTTTACCAGCTGTACCTACGTGATTTACACAAAATAATTTCTGCAGTAATGAAGCATGCTGTAAACTACATATTTTACAATGCCTACTGTTTAAACAAAAAACTAAAAGAACACATGAATCTTTTTGTTTTGTACAACAAAGAGATGAACACTGAACAATACAGCTTCTACAGTACATCATGTAGGATAATATTCTAGCTCTTCTGTGAGGTTTTTATGATTGTATGTTCAATTAAGCTACTGCAATTCTTAATTGTTAAAAAATTGTGGAAAGCATAGACTTAGCAACGCTTCCTTTTAACTAGTCTTTTGATCAGTCTTTCTCACCTATTTCTACATTTTGTAGATTAAATAAAAACATTGAGGATGTTTAATAATACAGTTTAATAATTTGTGTGTCTCTAACATTCAAAGAATATTTTCTTTGCAAATTTTATTTGATTTTTTTTACATATGAAATTCAGTGATATTGTGTTCAATCATTTTTTAAAAAAACGCTTGTTACATTTAATAATTTCAGTCACGCATTTAATTTATGGTGCATCTCTGTCTTACTTATAGATAACAGATTCAAACAGTTCTCTTTTAATTGAATTACAACTTAAGTATTCATGGAGTAAAATTTACTTTAATAATTTTCAGCCAGTGTGTATATATTCTTTCTTCAGAAGGTGAGGCACTTTCCTCATTGTGATAGCATTCACTTCTAATGATGTGCAACATGCCACCAATGAAATTAAGATGCTTTGGGAAGGCAAAACAAAAAAAAAGCATTTTAGTGTTTTACATGAAGAAAACTCCACATCACTGACCTTCACCAAACTTTTATGTCCAATTAGCCCAGCCTACTGTTATCACAAAGACCTCCCCTCTTTGTCTAGAAGCCAGAGAGACATGGTTTGTCATTTCCATTCCATTTGTCATTTGTGATGGTGACACTATATTTTAAAAAGGTGCCTTCCTCTGAATGAGGTATAAAACCGAGGTCCTGACTCTCCATGGTCATAAAAAATCTCGGGGTGTTTCTCGAAAAATGTAGGGGTGTTACCCCGGCGTCCTGACCAAATTTCCCATTGGCCCTTACCAATCATGGCCTTCTGATAATCCCCATCTCTGAACTGGCTTCATCAGTCTGTTCTCCTCCTCACTGAGAGCTGATGTGTGGGGAGCGTACTGTGCACACTATGGCTGCCATTGCATCATCCAGGTGGGGCTGCACACTGGTGATGGTGATAGGAACTCCCCATTACCTGTAAAGCACTTTGAGTGGAGTGTCCAGAAAAGTGCTATACAGTATAAGTGTAAGAAATTATTATCATTTTTCCACAGGGTGTGAACACACAGGTCCAATCTAGACAGCTCAGATAGAGCTGCTTTTCTCATGGGTTTTCCTTGTTTTTCTACAACTGGCTTCCTCTCCCACTGCCTTCAGACAATCCTATATGGTGCTCTCTCCTCTCTCTCCTAGGCAGGGACACTTCACTGCACCTCTCCAGGGGGTCATGTTACCCCTCACCATGAGGGAGGCCTATTGGACCCCTATTTCCCATTCATGTATTAAGTGCCAGGTCTCCCTATTGGCCATTAAGGTTCAATGCGGCCGAGTTACCTGGCTTTCTAGTGATGTCACCATAGCCGAAATTGTTCAACACTTCAACAGAGAGTGCATACCCACCCACTCTAAACCAGCACTACCTGCCTCATGCCCTTGTTCAGCAGGTGGACAGATGGGGGAGGCTCTGGATCAGCAGTGCTGAATCTTGGAGGAGCTCCTTACATCTAAAACTGTCAATGGCACTTTGGCTCCGTCCCCTTTTCCACACTTTTATGTGGATGAAGCCATCTGCTTCCGTGACTCATGCAAACATCGCACACTTCCTCTGTGGCACTGCTTCATCGGCCACTGCCTTCTAAGGTAACCATGTGGCTGTTACTATTCAACTGCCTTGGGCTGAGGCTTGCCATAGACAACATTACATGTTTGCTTCTTTATGCCCAGTCTCGTCACTTTCTCTTCATGTGGAGTGCCTTCTTCCTGTGAAAGTCCTGTGGAAGGGGCTGTGATGGTTGCCTGTTTATCCTGACATCTTGATGCAGGTAGAGATGGTTTTATTGGCACCCCTGATCGGGAAAACCGACCTCCTGGTCTTGTCCTTGAACAGAGAATGGCGATATGCTTGGGCCTGATCCAGACAGTAGTCTACACTCTGCAGAACTCTGCTGTATGAGCGGGATAAAGAACCTGATCTTTGTCCAATCTCCATGGCTCGAATTATTGAAAGTCCTGTTGCATGATGGGAAGACTGCCTTTATACTCAGATTATACTTGGCAGCAGTTTTGGCTAGCCATTGTAGTCTCAACAGTCTGGCTTATTTCCAGGCCTTCAGTCACATCTTGGGATGTGACAAGTAAAATGGGTGTGATTAGTAAATGTATGAAACAAGAAGACACATAGAAATAACAAACTATATTTAAACAGCTTAATACAGTCTACTTAATACTTTTAACCTTTTCATTGTAAAAAGTATCTCTCAAGAATAGCATAGATGTCACAATGATATTCTCTGGTCTTAAAATTCTTTGTGTATATTAACCATCCTTTTAAGCAAATTTGTATGTAAACTCTGGCCTTTCTCCATCATAAACATGCCTTTGGGTTAGCAGATTATTTTCTTTGGTATTAACCCCCTGAGGGTAAGTGTCATTTCTGTCTCTGGTATGGGTGGGGCACACATGTAAACCTCCCTATTCAGACCTTTGGGGATTCCTATTTAACGCATTCTGAACTTCATATAAAGTTGATTTAATTACCTCAGAGACACCCCTGCACAATAGAAAGACATTAATTATGACATGTTGACTATTTTGAAAGAGGTGTTCAAATGCACTCTAGGATGTTACTGACAACAGCAATAATGATGATGGTTGTCGTGGTTTTCACATCAGGGGAACAGCCGGTTTGCAGGATTCAAGGATCAGAAGTGTTCCACATTTATCTAAAGATAGAGATGTCATGATTGGGGGAGTGTTTCAAATCCACAGCAATACTGAACCAAACCAGATCCCCCTGAGGGAATTAACAAAAAGTTTTACTAAAAGTCTGTATTATATCTTGTTGACTATGTATTTCTTTACTTATATGTTACTAACTCCATCTCAGGATGTCTGGTCTCAAAAGATAACATAGCCACATGATGCCTTCATGCATAGCTGGCATAGTTCTCAGCAAAATGACCGAGTGACCTCTCCTGGAACAAATGATCTATTTAGCAGAAGGGGCTGCTTGTCACGCAAGCCGGCAGTAAAGAAAATACATGTACTAGTCGGCTTTCTAGAATGACCATATATAGCCACAATGCAAGCAGAGAGTCATGTGGGAGTGTATCTTGTATCGTTTGTTTCACTATATAAAAGAGCACTGTAAGCGTTGTCTTTCGATTTTTGTGTACAAGAGCAATACTCCCATATGCATATGATATAAAGACTTTCAACACACACTCATTCGGCTGATGCTCTTTGTTTGGCACAACGCCCCTAACTGCAAAAGGTATGTTAAGGTTTTTTAAAAAGAACAAAATACATAGATTATTGGTATAAAAATGGAGTGACAGAGTGGCATCCGCTCCATAGTGTGGTGTATCCAGTTTTGTACCCGTTGCTTGCCAAGATGGGCTCTGGCTCCACTTTGATACTGTGTTGGATAAAGCACTTAGAAAATGATGGATGGATGAATTTATAACCATTCGTTGCTCCTTTTTCTGTACATGTTTTTAACAGAATTGAAAACTTTAGTTGATTTCCTTAGCTTACTCATTGGAGAATTCCAGTCCATACAGACAATGATCTTTGTCATTGAAGAAATAAACAACAGAACTGATCTTCTTCCTGGAGTATCTTTGGGATATAAGATCTATGACACATGTGGATCAGTACCTTTGACTTTAAGAGCAGCCAGGGCTGGAGCCATAGGGCATGGGGGCAAAAAGGGGGCATCGCCCCCTCAACTGAACTGTCCCACCCCCTCAGTTTTAGACTAAAGTATTTTTTAACACTTGGGTTTAGTTACTGGAAGCACACTACAGACAAGGCTAAAGGATTAACCAGGCATGCTAACAGTAAAGAACATCAGACAGGTGTGGCCATTTGGAAAGAACAACAGATGCGACTTTCCACAGCCAAGGAAATTTCAACACTAGTTATTGCCGATCAGCTTATGGCTAGTGTTATGTCTGGAAGGGAAGGGGGCATGCAGAAACATATTCAAGATAAATTAAACTGAGAGGTGCCTTATATTTATTGCTTCAACCACCAATTACATCTGGTGGTTGTGCATGCCATTTCATCAAGGAACGCCATTGAAGATTTTTTTAATACATGCAATTCATTGTACAAGTTTCTGAGAAAGCCCACCGTACTGTAGCTACACAGTACACAAGAGAAACACTGAAACGGTCACTGGATCAAAGGTGGACTGGCCACCTTGACACTGTGTCTGTGATACTGAAATCATTCGACAAAAAAAAGAGTTTTGGACAGGAATTGAAACTACCAGAACTAACAGTGCTGACATAAAAATTGAAGCTGCCGGATAACTCAAAGCAATTACAGAACCAAACTTCAAATGTATTTCCAGTATGATTCATAAAGTCTTAGGGCTGCTCGACCCCCCCCAACAAGATGCTGCAAGCCGAACAAACTGATCTAGTCACTGCTGTTCAGCTTATTAAAACTGTCTCCGATTGCACTGGAAGTTTGTGATCTGAGGCTGAATTTGAAAAACTGTGGACAAACTGCAAAGGCACAGATGCAGCTCGTACAAAACGAAAACGACTGGAGCGCAAGTCTCTGAAGGAGTATATGACACTTGGTCAACACGAAGAGGACTGCTGCTTTTTGGAAGGGAAACACATAAAGTCTTCAAACCAAACGCATTTTAAAGATCCCAACTTGTGAAAATGTTCATAACCTTTACATAAACGTATCAGTTAACTAATTGACAGAACATAATTAACTCTTCACATATATAGTTGACCCTTACCAAAATAAAAACAGGACATAAAGAAAGGATTTCAGAAATAAAGCTTTATCCCCCGTGCTTACAGACTGGATAATTGGAGACTGTGCTGTTCTGCTTCTTATGGTCTTATACGGGTTGTTCACAATAACCCTTGTTGATCAGTAGTTCTCTCTGTAGTTCTCTCACTGTGATCGTATGTCCTGCAGAGTTACAGTTGGTCTGTAATTACGCATCAATCAGAAATCTGAGGTTCAGGAAAAGATAATTAGCTCACTTATACGTTCATGTAAAGGTTGTGAAAATTTTCGGGTTGTGTTAGGGTATATAGGATTCCTCTCTGCCTTGTGCTTTGTGCTCACTTTCTTGGCTCGGAAGCTACCTGAGAACTTCAATGAAGCCAAATCTGTCACGATTATAGTCCCCCCTCCTTAAGGGTGCTCCAGCCCTTTCACTTTAGACTTCATTCTCTGCACCTGTTTCCCATTCCCAGCCCACCTTAAAAGCCAGGCGCTGACGCTCATCCGGGCTCTGTAGCTGATTTCCATATCGCGTGAGTCCGGGACCTGGAAGCGCCTGGTCCCGTTCCTGTTCCCCGTCCGCCGGTTCCGACCCGGCCTTCGTGGTTTTTTATTCTTTCTTCTGATGGATCTTTTGGTTTTGGACTTACTCGTGTGTTTTGGATATTCCCTAAGGACTACTCTCTCGGATTGTTCGCCTCGGCCACACCTCCCCCGTGCACCAGCGCACCTTGGACATGCCCCCCTGTCTTCTGCCCCGTATTCCTGCATGACGTTTCCCCAGTGTTTCCCCACTCCGTCGGATTGTGTCTTCCGCATAGGGTCCGGAAAGAACTGTTCGTTACAAAATCCATTACATTCAGCACGCTCATATTCTGTGCTGTCTGGCTGACTTTCATTCCAGTTTGCAGTACATCAGCTCTCCTGGGAAGTATATAGTAGCTTTAGAAATATTTGTCATTTTGGCTTCTAGTTTTGGTTTACTGTTCTGCATATTTTTCTGAACACAAATTAATAAAACTAGAAAAGGAGTGGAACACAATTGATAAAAGACATGTTAGCCTTTAAATGATAATAGTTTATTTTTGGTAATATACTGTACTTTTAAATGATTCCCCGCCTTTTCATAGAATTTAACCCCTTTTAAGGAAATCAGATCAACAAGCATTGCAAGCTCAGAAGTTGTGGCAGCTTTTCATGTGCCTGTGGTGAGAAATTTTGAAAAAAATTTCAAAATCCATTTTCAATATCAAAGTAGCCAATTTAAAAGGTGAAAAAATATCCATCAAAAATCTAAAAAATAATATTAGATTCTGTAAAATAGTATGGATCTGTTCAATTTAATGTACAACAGTAAACAACATACTAACTGTTACCTGAGTCCTTAAGGAAATATTTTCAGAAATCATGTTCTATTTTTTAACTTTTACAGATCAGTCATTTTGCTACCTGTGCATGTCTGAGCAATAAGAGAAGATTCCCTTCATTCTTCAGAACCATCCCCAGTGACTATTATCAGAGCAGAGCCCTGGCTCAGCTTGTGAAGCACTTTGGATGGACCTGGGTTGGAGCCATTAGAACTGATGATGATTATGGCAACAATGGGATGGCTACATTTGTGGAAGCTGCTTAGCAAGAGGGGATCTGTATTGAATATTCAGAATCTGTTAATGATGCCAATCCCAGAGAGAATACAATAGACTTAAAACAATAGACGTTATAAAGAAGAGCACTGCTTAAGTTATTGCAGCCTCCCTAGATCAAGGAGACATAACTGTTTTGTTAAAAGAACTATCCCTTCAGAATGTAACTGGTCACCAATGGATTATCAGTGAAGCCTGGATTACTGCCAGTAATGTTGCCACTGCAGAAGTTTATAAACTTCTGAGTTGATTCATTGGATTTGCTGTCGTAAAAACCAAAATAGAAGGGCTAAGTGAGTTTTTATTAAATGTTCATCCTTCTCATTTTCCAGGTAACACCATTTTAAATGAGTTTTGGGAAACTGTATTCAACTGTTCTCTGAATTAACAAACCACAACAGGCAGATCATCTTGCACAGGGTCTGAACATTTAAGTGTGTACGCAGATAAATCAAGAAATTTCAATAATGAATATAAAGCAGTATATGCTATCGTATACTCCCTTCACAACCTGTTTAAATGTAAGAAAGCAGAAGACACTTTTGCTAAT